GCACAGATCCCCTTTTTCTTTTCCCTTGCCCCTCCTACACAGAGCAGAGCACTGAGGGGGTCTCTAGACTATTCTCGGGAACAGAAGGCTATTTTTCCCTCCCTCGTGCCCAGTCTTCACACTTAACGGCACTTGTGTGGTGGTCATCATTGCCTCTATACCAGAGGCTCTCAACACTCTCTGCACACTAGAACCCTCTAAAAAGTATAAAGGATTGATACGCCTTTCAGACCCCCAGGCCGAGGCCGTATCCCAGACTGCATAGATCAGAACCTTGGGGGAGCTACAGAAAGGCCAGTCCATACATACATACAAACACCAGTCCATACATACATACAAACACCAGTCCATACATACAAACACCAGTCCATACATACAAACACCAGTCCATACATACATACAAACACCAGTCCATACATACATACAAACACCAGTCCATACATACATACAAACACCAGTCCATACATACAAACAAACACCAGTCCATACATACAAACACCAGTCCATACATACAAACACCAGTCCATACATACAAACACCAGTCCATACATACATACAAACACCAGTCCATACATACATACAAACACCAGTCCATACATACATACAAACACCAGTCCATCATACATACAAACACCAGTCCATACATACATACAAACACCAGTCCATACATACAAACAAACACCAGTCCATACATACAAACAAACACCAGTCCATACAAACAAACACCAGTCCATACATACATACAAACACCAGTCCATACATACAAACAAACACCAGTCCATACATACATACAAACACCAGTCCATACATACAAACACCAGTCCATACATACAAACACCAGTCCATACATACAAACACCAGTCCATACATACATACAAACACCAGTCCATACATACAAACACCAGTCCATACATACAAACACCAGTCCATACATACAAACAAACACCAGTCCATACATACAAACAAACACCAGTCCATACATACAAACACCAGTCCATACATACATACAAACACCAGTCCATACATACATACAAACACCAGTCCATACATACAAACAAACACCAGTCCATACATACAAGCACCAGTCCATACATACAAACACCAGTCCATACATACAAACAAACACCAGTCCATACATACATACAAACACCAGTCCATACATACAAACACCAGTCCATACATACAAACACCAGTCCATACATACAAACACCAGTCCATACATACAAACACCAGTCCATACATACAAACACCAGTCCATACATACATACAAACACCAGTCCATACATACAAACACCAGTCCATACATACATACAAACACCAGTCCATACATACAAACACCAGTCCATACATACAAACACCAGTCCATACATACAAACAAACACCAGTCCATACATACAAACAAACACCAGTCCATACATACAAACACCAGTCCATACATACAAACAAACACCAGTCCATACATACAAACACCAGTCCATACATACAAACACCAGTCCATACATACAAACACCAGTCCATACATACAAACAAACACCAGTCCATACATACAAACAAACACCAGTCCATACATACATACAAACACCAGTCCATACATACATACAAACACCAGTCCATACATACAAACAAACACCAGTCCATACATACAAACACCAGTCCATACATACAAACAAACACCAGTCCATACATACAAACACCAGTCCATACATACAAACACCAGTCCATACATACAAACACCAGTCCATACATACAAACACCAGTCCATACATACATACAAACACCAGTCCATACATACAAACAAACACCAGTCCATACATACAAACACCAGTCCATACATACAAACACCAGTGGCAGCAGTGTTATAATCACTGAATATTACTTTCTGTTTTTTTTGCTGAAATCATTCAATGTCCTTTATTACATCTTTAGTGTTTTTCTAACTCTAAAATTTACTTTGCCTCAGAATATAAAAACTATAAAGAAAATACAGCAGATATACTTGTTGACTAAACTCTAACCCTGGAAAATCTAACCCCCTACTACTTAGAAATGACCAGCTCTACTGCTAGAACATCTAGCACCAAACGGAAACACTGAACATCTTGTAAGTAAAAAAAGCCAGTAATATGTAGACAATGAAGGAATAAACAAAGAAATAATAAGGCTAGAAATGGCAACTTAAAAATCGCTTTGACAGCCAGGACTACACAGAGAAACCCTGTCTCAGGAAAAAAAAATCACATTGAATATGGCTGAAAATAGCCCAGCCTAAGACTACTTTTAGACAAGGAAACACACAACCTAGTTCTGTCCCGCCCTTAGTCATATGCACTTGTACATGTATGTGGACCTACGTGCTCCATCCAGAACAGGTGTTTTTTTGTTTTGGTTTGGTTTTTGAGACAGAGTCTCACTGCATGGCTTGGAACTCTCTATGTAGACCAGGATATCCTTGAACTCACTAAGATCCTGCTGCTTCTGCTTTCCAAGAGCTGGGATTACAGGTGTGTGCCATCATGCCCAGTTTAGAAACAGACTTTAAAAGAAAAAAAAATTTTTTTAATTTTATTTTGTATGTTTAAATATTTTGCCTGCATGTGTATGTATATGCAACATGTCCGTGCCTGGTGCCCGTGGAGGCCAGGAGAGAGCTATGAGTCCCCTGGAACTGGAGTTACAGCCAGTTATGAGCTGCCCATCAGGCTCTGAAAACCAAACCTGGGTCCTCTACAGGAGCAGCTAGTGCTCCTTACTGCTGAGAAGGCTCTCCAGTTCCAAGAAACAGACTAAACTCTCTACAGCTCACATAATAATCTATTCATGCCAACAAAGAAGCTATGTTTATCGCACAATTATGTCAAGTAACACTGACGGAGAAAAAGAAGGTGATTATGTCATCAATGTTTTTTAAAAAAATCCATATTCTAGGGGAAGGAGCAGTGACTCAACGGGCAAAAGGCAAAAGGCTTCCGCCAAACCTACAGCCCCAGTTCAACCTCCAGAACCCACATGGTAGAGGGAGAGAAACAATTCTAAGACACACGCCTCAGAATGTTACCTTTTTAAAAGAATTACAAGTTAAGACACCCAAACAGAAAGAAAGAGTCCCAAACTGAGAGTCAGGTCAAAGAGGACACTGCAGGGTAACTTTGTTACCACACACATAGCTATTTTGGACAAGGCTGTTCTGAGCATTTTACATCAAATATCACTAAAAGGGCTTCTCTACCTTTATTGCAGCGAACCAATTTTCCTAGTCTGCCTCAGTGGTCCTTGGTACCATCACAAAACTCACATGATGCCTTAGCAGATAACGCCCTCCTCAACTTGGAGCCTGAGGGTCTCCAACTTCACAAGCAAGCATGTCACATCGGTAGCTGGCCTTTATCCAGAACAACCAACTTCTCAAAACAAATTTGCAAAACTAGCTGTGGTGGCACTGCCTATAATCCTAGCACTGGCCAGACAGAAGCAGGAGGAGCAGACGTTTACCGTCATCTTCAGCTACACAGCAAGGTTGAGGCCAGCCTGGGCTATTTAAGACTGCCTCAGAAATGAAACAAAACAAAACAGCAATAAAACATTTTCTCCCTTCCAGCATATGTTAAGTTCCAATCTGGCCAGTGAGAGTCCCGTGCTATAATATTATCTGTGTCTTGGCCTCCGAGTGAAATGTTTTCACCTTTATTTTTATCACTATGGGTGAGAGGATTCAGAAACCAAATGGATGAAACCACCAGCTTTGTTACACTATAAAACAAAATTCATTTGTGGAGAGAGGAGCAATTCTGATTTGAAGAGAGAAATGATAAATTCAAAAATAAACATTAAGTTATAAAATAATGAATACTCATTAAATGCTAAACTTATGGTTCATTTTCTAATTACATGAATAATTTATATAACCATGGAGCTACATTATGATGTCTTTTACAAGGTTTGTTATGGTATTTCCAAATTTGCTTTTGATATTTGGCCTTGGGGCTGGAGAGATGGCTCAGCAGTTAGGTGGACAGGCTGCTCTTCCAGAGGACCCAGGGTTGATTCCCGGAACCCACATGGTGACTCACAACTGTACAAAACTCCAATTCCAGGGACTCCAACGCCTTTTTTCCAGCCTCCTCCAGTGCCAAGCACACATATGGTGCCCAGACATAGGCATAACACCCATACACAAAAAATAAAAATTTTAAAAATTAAAGAAAAAATAAAGCCTTAAATTTTTGTCATTTCCTTTACTCATCTGTTGTAGGAAACAGCAAGCAAACGGCACCGGGCACGTGGAGGTGAGAGGGCAACGTGCAGGCGTCAGCTCTCTCGCCTGCCATGTGGGTGGCCGCAGACTCAACTCAAGGTGTCAGACTTGGTGGCAAACAACAAACCATTGAGCCAGCTCACTGGATCACTAATTAGCCTTTTTAAAAATCAAAAAGCTAAGCCAGGCCGGTGATTCACGTCTGTAATCCCAGCACTAGAAAGAACAGTTAAGGTGAGGTTATGTCAGTCTTTGCTCTAAGTATCACAAGTTCTAGGCACGTCAGGGCTACAGCGTGAGACCCGGGACCAAATAAATAAAGCCGAAAGTCTTCACCTGTCCCGACTATAACTCTGAATTAAGAAAGTGCTAGCATTCTTAATTGGGTTTTACTGTGTATAAAAACATATGGTGGAAATAACCGTAAGTCATCAATGGGATGCAGTTCACTCCCAATACTTGTTGAAGTCTGTCTGCCAGGAAGCGGAGGACTGAGCTCCACCACAGTTTGTGCTGCCTGGATAAGGTCAAGTTGTCAGTATAATCTGACATAAATAAATAAATAAATAAATAAAAATAACTTTTGGCTAGCTGACAGGAGATGGGAGAACAAGTTAAGGCTCCCAAATGTGTAACCTTAAGCAGTCAGTACATTAACCTTATGGGACTTTGTCTCAAGAACCTGGGCCAAGCAGCCCACAAGCCCTGAAAGTGGAGGGGAGAGCTGGTTGCAGGGTGAGCCACTTACGAGATGTAGGCTGGGTATCCGAAACCTATCAGGTTGCAGAGCAGAGAGGCTCCATAACCGAACACCAGATACAAGGCCACCAGTCCGATGACACCTGGAGAGCAGAGGAGAGAAGCAGTTGGGTGATCCTGCGGACATTCTAAAAAGACAGTCCCCGCCCACACCCACACTTCGAGGTTAGGCCTTTTCTAGGCGTTTTCCTCCTGCCTCGATTGCCAGAGAGAAACCAACCATAAGGAGGTCCGGCCTGCCCATTCACCGGCAGCTGTTTGGGTTGGGGACCCTGGGGAGGCCTCTGCTTCTACTCCCTGGGCACGGCCCTTCTGGGCTGGGTATACAGAGCATTCCCCTGCCTCAACTCTTAGGACAGTGCCCGCCTGGGCTGAGCATACCGAGCAATCCCCGGCCTCAACACCCCAGGGAGCGCCCACCAGGACTGGGTATACAGGGCAGTCAGTCCCCTGCCTCCCTTTCCTCCCAGCTGGCCCGCGCGGTGCATCGGCTGGGAAGCCCGGCTCGCCCTGACCCGGATCCCGCGCGCGGGCGTGGATTGTCCACGCCAGACCCGGCAGCCGAGGGGTCCGGGAGGTGAGGCCGGGCTCCTCCACCCAGCGGGACACCGGCTCGGCAGAGGAGACACGTCAGCGTCCCGCAGCTCCCGGCTCCCAGGCCCCGCTCCACGCGCCAGGGGCCTCCCGCCCGCCCTTCGTCCGCGCCCCGCGCCGCTCCCGGGGACCCATCGCCCACCGAGCGCGATGAAGCTCCGGTTCACTCCGGTCTTGGCCTCGAGCTTGGCCAGGAGGTCGGTCACGCAGTTCTTCTCGTGCAGGAACCGATCGAATCTCTCCCTCATGGCTGCAGACATGGCTGGGCCGTTCGCGCCGCCCGGGATGCTCCGCAGCCGCCTGGACGCGGAACCCAGCTGACCGGGGCGGGGCGGGGCGGGGCGGGGGCGGGCGGCACCGCGGCGCGTGCACGAGGATCCCGGGAGCGCGCCCCGGCTCGCCCCCGCCCTTCTGGCGCGCTTCCCACCCCGCCCCCGCCCTGCTCTCTCCGCAGCTGCCACGCCCTACCGGGCCTCCGCTTCGGCAGGGAGGTGTCCCCCCTCTACCCAGTAAACAGCAGGAGGTTCCTGGTGCCCGCCTGACTTTTTAAAATCCAACCAGTGCAAAAAAAGACCCAAAGGGACGGGCGACCTTGACGTCTGCAACGGATTAAGACTAGTCTGGAGGATACACTACTGAGCTGAACCTACGAAGGCATTTTAAGCTAAAAATGGAAAAGGGTGCAGGCCTGCTCCCCTCTTGGGCCAGCATAGTTTTGAAAACTCGCGTAGAGGAAGCTCACGTGCCCTATTCTGGGGCACACCGTTTCCAAGCTCTGCAGTTGAGCCTCCTGGTGGGCTAGTGTTACCTGGAGGTCTAAGGGAAGGGAAATGCATTGGTTATCTTCAATTCCCTAACAGCGCAGTTATCCTGAAGAAGAGGTAGACCCTGAATGTGAGCCTCACGACCTCTCTCTAGTTCTTCCAGCGTTGGGCGGCGTCCCAAACTCTTCCTCCACCTAACCCTAGGCTCTAGTGGTCTTTCACCCACATACCTTCAGAACACTCCAGAAATGGCCCTTTCTCCTACTCCTGCTAAGTTTTCCTCATTGCTTAAGACTCGAAGGCCTTTAGGGGCTGCGTAGGATCCAATTTCTCATTAGATAATGCGAGGTCCGGTGCACAAACTGGCCCCAAACGTTCTTTGTCCTACACCTCCACTTCCAAATTGATTAAGTTCCTATGCTGTTTTCTGTGAGGTAGATACCTTGCTCGCTCCATTTTCCTTATCTGCAAGTTTCCCTGAGGGTCTTCAATCAACTCTGTCTGCTGCCCCCACCAATATCCAATTAATCATTAATGAAATTGAACCATAATGTTAATAGCATTATTGTAATAGCATCCACGCCTACAATAGCTGTCCATTAGCCTACAATTAATTCACAATATTGCAGTCAGAGGCACCAAATGCGGGTTAAAGCCGGGCATGGTTGTGCATAACTGCAATCCCAGCTCTTGGAAGATGAGGCAGGGGGATCAGAAATTCAAAGATAGCCTCAGCTATATAATACTATAGGGAGTTTGAGAGCAGCCTGAGCTACGCTAGACTCTTTTGAAAAGCAAGCAGGTAGAACTGGGGAAATGGCTCGGGGCTTAGGAGCACCTACTGCTCTTGCAGAGGATAAAGTTCAGCTCCCAGCAGCCACCTTATACCTCTTGTCCCAAGGGCTCCAGGCCTTCTGGACTCCATGGACACCTGTGCTCACATGCACACCCAGATACAAATAATAATTAAAAAATCTAACAACAAAGAAATGTCAGTGTTTTTCAGAATAAACATTTGAAAAAGTGTGTCACACTGTGCTGTGTCCGTCCTTCCTCCAGTGACTTTTTGTTTCCTAAAGAATTGCCTCATGCTAGGCAGATGGCTCAACAGTAAAGGGCTTGCCAGGTGGCATGAGGTAAGAGCCACGTGTGACAGCATCTGGATGCCACCATGGGGGAGGTAACTTGCTGGAGCTTGATGGCCAGTCAGCCTAACAGAATTGGTGAGCTCCAGGTCCAGGGAGAGACGCTGGCCCTCACACTAAGCCGGAAAAGATCTGAGGGAGACATGGGATCTCAAGAGTAGACGCTGACCCCTCTCCTCCATACAACCTGCACACACCCACCTGCTGTGTGTAATGCAGGGGTTCGAACAAGGAATGTCCCCCGTAGGTTCGTGTGTGTGGATACTTAGTCCCCATTTAGGGCTAAAATGAATGAGAGAAATATTACCTAATATTTGCCTTTAGGTAATTGTAGTCAGACTGGAGAAGCATGAGACCCTTCGCTCATGCGGTCATCACAAACCTTTTGTAGATGAGAAGACCTCAGAGCCCTGGCCTAAAAGAGGCTATCTCCAAAAGACAAGACAAGGCTAGCAAGGTGGCTCACGTGGTAAAGACCTTGCCACTAGGCCTGACAACCAGAATTGGATCCCTGGAACCTTCATAAGAGAGAGCCAAGTCCATCAAGTTGCCCTCTGACCTCCACACAGGTGTATGGCCTGTCTAACCCCCTCAGTCATATACCTACCACGAATAACAAGTAAAATCTTTGAAAGTAAAAATTGCCATGCTTCGTTTAATACATTTGAATAAAATTGTTTTCCTCGTTTATCTTAGTTTACACATTTTCTATTGAAAATAAAGGCAAAGCTTTTTATTATAATTTCCCACTCTCAAACAGGAAGCTGAGTATAGAAAGTCAAGAACAAACCAGCATGAGACTAGCCTCTAGCTCAGCTGAAGTATTTTCACTCTGGATGAGCTGCCATGTGTCATGGCTATTGCTTACAAATCCATAGGTTTTTTTGTTCAACAGGCGTGAAAGTGCCCTTTGCTGCGTCCTTTCGCTTCCTAGTTGCACCTGCAAGGGGTCATCCAGCAAAAACAAGCCGTCAGCAGGTTGTTGCTCTGTGATCATGACTGGTCCGTCTAGTTTTGACAAACTCTGCCTTTAGATTTCTTGGCTGCAGCTGTCCACTGGCTCTGGGCTATGTGTCCCACCACCAGAGAACAGTCTGGATTTGCCTAAGAGTGTACAGGTGGCCTGCAGTTTTGACTGCCTCCCTCCATGCCCCCAGGGTGTGTGGTGTGTGTTACTGTGTACACGCGCTGCAAGGCCTGAGCCGAGGCTGGAGGAGAGCTCAGGTGTCTTAGTTCCTGTCACTCGCCTCTTATTCCTTCGAGGCAGGGGCTCGCACTTAACCTGGAAACCTGGAGTGGAGTGAGGCTGGTGGCCTGCAAGCCTGGGGAAATTTCCTGTCTGTGTCTCCCACAGCACTAGGGTTACAACACTTGTGGGGCCATGCCCAGTTGTTTTTGTTTGTTTTTTAATGTTGGTACTGAGAATTTGAATGGAGGGTTTCCCCGCTTGCACAGCCAGCGTCCTTACCCACTCCGGCACCTCAGAGGCACCCAGATCTCGAGGAGAACCAGAAGTTAGTCTCATGCACTTCTCTTCGTGACTAGTCATCAGGGAAATTTAGTTCACGTGGACAAAGAAACTGTCGATCAGCATTTTTATCTCCTATCATAAATGTGGTGACTTAACGCAACATAAATACATTATCTTAGAGCTAGTGTCAGAGGTCTGACCTGCGTCTTACTGGGCTAAAATCAAGGTCTCATTTTCAGGGCTTGGTTCCCTCCTGGAGACTCAAGGCAAACCCGCTTCTTGGCTCCTTTGAGCGGGTGACAGAATTCAGTTTCTGGAGTTGTAAGACTGCAATGCCCGTTTCCTTCCTCTTTTTCGAGGCTAGCAGTAGTGGGGTGGATTCCTTTCCTACTTCAAATCTCTCTTCCCCTTTCCTCTGTCTCGTCTCTGTGGCCCATCTATTTTTTACCTCCACTTTTTAAAGGGATTTGTTTTTATTTTATGTGTATGAGTGTTTTGTCTGCATGTGCACCACAGTGAACTGTGCCTCATGCCTGTAGGAGACCAGAAGAGCGCATTGGATCCCCTGGAACTGGAGTTAACAGATGGCTGTGAGCTACCGTGTGGGTGCTGAGAACAGAACCGGTGTCCTCTGCAAGAGCCGCAAGTGTCCTCAACTGCTGGGTCATCTCTACAGCCCCAGCTTTCCTCCCTGTAGGTTGGCTTTTCTAACAGAAAGCTCACAGTTGTATAACGAAATATATTCATAGGTTCTGACTATTAGGACATTGACCTCTGGGGAAGAGGTTCGCTATTCTGCCTACACAGTGGCCTTACATGAGGCACCGTAGGCAGCCTCCAGCTCTCCAGATAGAAGGAACATGTTGAGATCTGACAGCTGGTGGAGACCGTGTATTCATATCAAGAACCAGCCCAGGGCATGCACAGGCTTGTGGTGTAGACTTTGGAACTGACAACCTGGCTCCATTTACTATCTGGGTGCTCTTGGGAAAGTTCATGCCCTCCAAGAGCCCAGCTTCTCTCTGGAAGAACAGGGGAAGAGAGCAACCTGCTTCATCCCATAGGTTACAGTCTATTATCTAGCAAAACCAAGGCAGGAACTCCAGTTGATAGCGAAGACTAGCCATCTAGAAAGAAGTAAGATCAACTTGCTGGGCTCCCATTTAACCCCCTTGGACTAACCTGTACCCAAGGGAAATGAATCATCCAGGCTTGCCAGACGTGGGCAAGAAAGGAACCTAACGCCGTTCATTGGTTAAAGTCGGGCTGCTCTCTGGCACGCAGTGAACTGACTGGTGTGGGTGGCTCCTTATCACTGCGCTGTCTCCAGACTTCCTGCTTCTTTGCTCGCTGACTTTCAGCCCTTTGGGGAGGTGTTTTGGCCCACAGGTCCTTCAGCTCTCAGCCGTAAATCATCACACGACCTTGCCAGGCGACTCAAGGACAGGCTTCTTTTAAAGGCAGAAATAGCGTTTGCTCAGTGATGAGAGCTGGCATGCAGTTCCATTTTGCAAGCACCAGTTCACCACACAGCCTTTCCCCGTTTCCCTTTGATGGTCTCCCTGCCAGCTAGAACAGGGAGTCTTTAGAATAAGTTTTGTTAGGACAAACTTTATTGCCCCCACCCACATTTTTTTTACCTAGCAACTCTTTAATTTGTATAAAGCAAACAAATAAACAAACAAACGGAAAACATGTACTAGACAAACTTGTAATTCTAGCACTTGGGAAGCTGATGCAGGAGGATTGTCATGAAGCTAAAGCTAACGTGAGCCATATTGTTCTAGGCCAGCCTGGGCCAACAGAGTGAGCCCATCCATTAAAAACAGCAACAAAACCTGCTAAAAAGCAAGGCCTTATTAGTCTCAAATCAAGTGTAAGTCCAAAAAAATCATGATCCTGTTAGATCGTGGGTTTGTGAGTTTAAGACACTCTAAGTGGCCAGATCCTTTAGATCTCTCTCTCTCTCTCCTCTCTCTCTCTCTCTC